TGAGAGTTATTGCACAAGAAAATTCAACCACCAAAAACATACATCAACTCAAGAAAAACTAGACATCTTTATCAGCCGTCACGACTTGATGATTTGCATGCTTCAAATTTTACATCATATGCACAAATTGGGAAAAAAACTACTTAGTCATTGCATTTTTTTCAAAATTGAGTATTTTTTATCTTATTATGATTGACATTACTCAGCTTCTGAAAGCTCTATGGTAAAATCACTGCTTTTTGCTACCAATTGTACGATTAAATAACAAAATTTTCACAAAACACACAAAATTGAAGATGCAAGAGAGCAATAGCTCATAGAGAATATATGGTTTGTCATTGCCAAGCTACATTAATAAAAACGAGAAGATTATACTTAAAATGTAAAAAAAAAACCAAGGAGAACTATTACTAGATTTATTGTATGTGGAACAGCAAAAATTATAACAAAGTAGTAAAAATCATAAAGCTAATCTTAAATAGAGTTTATCTTATCAAAATATAATTTAGACTTGTGTTTATATCAAGAATCATGTCTTTTTGTGTAAGAACATGTGTTTGTGTTTTCTTGCATCTACTTTTTTGTGAAAAGCCTAAAAAATTGAAAAATATCATCTTTTTGTAAAATCAATCTATCATAATAATTTCATATTAATATTGAAATATTTTGCTATCAATGATGGAAATTTTTTATAAAACAAATTCTTATATTTTATGTTCATTTGATATTAATTAATATTTCCAAGATTTATGTATGTTAAATTTTGGAAAAAGTTATATTATAATCTGATCATTAAAAAATTATTCTATTATGTTATAATTAAGATTTTATTTTCTTATTAATTATAAATTATTCTTATTTCAGTAATTTTAAAATTTTCAAAAATATAATCTATCAAATTTGTATATGTTCCAAATTTTATTTAATTCTAAATTTTAATTTTAATATTCAATTTTCTTTTATAAATTTGATGTTTTATCTTCATCAAAAAAAATAATCATATATATGAAAAATTTTCTTATCATTGTGTAGTTGTCTACATCTAAATTGTGTATGGAATTACTTAAAGATGTTGTGTCTTATTTGAATCCAAAAATTTCAGATTTTTTGAGTTTGAATCTATAGCAATATAATTTTCAAGTTTATTTTAAATCTTATTATACAAATTATTATCAAATTTTTTTTTAAATGTATCATATATTTATGTAACAAATGTAACAAATAACAGATTGCCTGATCACACAGATTTTACATGATTTCCTAAAACATATATATAAATTACTGATATCTTATTTAAAATTATATGTCAAATCAACATCTCTAAAACGTTTATCAAACTTATCATGTTTACATTCACTTAAAAAATTTTATCTTCATAATATCTGTTTATACCCAAAAAACTAAAAAATGATTTATGCTACTTATTGAAGGTATTTTATTTTTTATTTCAGCATCATTTTACATTATCAATTCTTATAAAATTCATAAATTAGATAAATCTGAAAATTAAATGAAAAATTCAATCAAATGGTTATATTTCTCTGAAAAAAGGAATCTATTTGAAAAATATTTTTTAAATAATATCTTTTTGAGAAAAGAAATATTTTTTTTTGAAATTAAGTCTTTAATTTTTGGATTTTAATTTCAAGATTATCTTTAAAATAGCAATTTTTATATTATTTATAGATTATTTATGCTTTTCAGTCATAAAAATCATTTAACCATTTATTGAAGTCTCAAAATTAGTAATAATACATATTAAGTTAAACTTGCAAATGGAAATAAGTTCATTTTATTTCATATAGTTTTAACTAATAATTGTTGATTTGAATGAAAGAGTTTTTTATATAACTAATATATGTAAATTGGACTTTGCATTGATTTTCCTAGTTAGACTAAAAGTTTAATCGCAACATTCCATTGAAGATTTTGGATTTATCTTTTTCATCAACATGAATATCCAACATCCATAAACATCAATCCACACGTTAGATTTTTAGTAGAATCTCAGCTACCTCAGACAATCTATTTGATAACATATTGCGATGAAAACAAAGGATGCTATTTTGTGTATACAATAGAATGGCGCGTTCTAATTCATGTTCATCTCAAATATTCAAATGCATCTCGATTGAGAAAATCATTTTTTGAATATTGGTAGAAAAAAACAACTCTTGAAACGGTATGACTATGAAGAATTTGTAATATAAATTGTTGCATGCATTGTCATGCAAAGAGAGAGTTCTTTGGTAAGTGTAGGAGTGCATCTTCCATATGTTTGTTTATTGTGAACTGTATTACCTTTTTGCAATAATCTTTAAGTACTTACATTATATTATTGCTAGACATAGGTTTGGAATTGAGTAAATTATTTGGCTTAAAATTGATAGGAGTGAACCTATTTGTAGATTACGTGACGGTGGGTACATTGAGGATGGAGAGCATGTATTTGCTACTTGTTTTAGGTACGAAGACATTAGGCTTGCTTGTAATATAGATGTAGAGAATTTTATTTTTTTTGTTAAAGTTAGTTACTTTTGACTTAGGTTGTAATATTAGGTACATTATTAATTACCATTCTAGTGCTCTTGGCATTAACTAGGGATTGGTTTTTGGACACTTTTCCATTGTTTGTTTGTGGTTGTTGATTGTATTGTGTTTTTCAACTTTTTGCTTGGGTCCCGGGCTTGATCTATTACCATTTACCCGAGAACCAGCTGCTTCCAGAATATGGACGGAGCAAAGGGAAGAGAATGGAATAGCGGATGGATGCACCCAGCAACTCTTCGGAGACGTAGAAACGCCGCTTTCCGACCGAAACGTCAAGACGTCTGCAAAGAGGGTCTTATCTGCAAAGAGGGTCTTATCTGCAACGAGAAACATGTTGGGATCGACAGAGGGATTATCTTATTGACATGGAGCGAGGCGAGGCAGCGGCAAGAGCAACTTGCAAAGGCTGCATGAGCTCGCGATCATTCATTCGGTCAGGAGGCGATGTGATCCTAATCCTGGGAGGATCTGAAGACTTTGAGCAGACAGGCGTTCAGGCTGTTGGGGATCACATCTGCAGACGCCTAATGCAAAACGCCTTGACAAATGGAGCCGCGCACAGTCTGCGTGCCATTGGGCATTGGTGCCGAGAGCGAGCGAGTTCCTGGCCAGACGATGGTCTTATCTAGAGCGATGCAAGAAAGATGGACTAACGAAACTCGCAGATCCGGAAAGAAAAGAGCAGAAAGGAGCTCGTTCATGATTGGAAAGTGGAACCTGAGCATCTTTTCCAAATATAAGAAAGCTGCAGCCTCGTCAGATGCACCAAACAATAATCGTCCGGATTCTAGAACTGCTGCTGCTGCTGCTGCTGCCCAAGCAGTCGAAGCAGCGCCCAAATACAAAATGCCCAACAAATCGAGCAGCTGTCGAGCCTTAGATGGTGTGCTCGTGATTGGCTCGAGCGCAGGAGGAGCAGGAAAAAATTCACACTCGCGAAGCTCGCCAAAAGGTGAGCGTGAGTCACGAACTGCAAGCTTTTGCAAATAGATTGCGATCGAAGCCGATGAGGCGATTCATTGGACCTCATACTCGCAAACACGTTGTTGGATTGAGAAAAGCCTGACACTCGAGTCAGCATGTCCATAGCTGGGATCGATCCACAGCCAAAACTGCTGTTGTTCGCATGTGATTCGCCTCCCCCTTCTATTTCTTTCCGCGCTTTCCCCTTTCCCTTCCCATCCCATCCCATCCCATCCCATCAGCACACAGCGAGCAATACGAGCCCGAGCCTGGGAAGGCTCAGAGAGCGAGAACCGTGCGAGAATCCAAATGGGCGCGCCCTCTAATTGGTCTCCAGGAACCTCCTCCTTCATATTTATATATGCATGCAATAATAAATCGATTAGTTAATTGGTTGATTGATTGATGGGCTGTACATGGATGGGGTGCGAGCAAGTCGTTCATGCTGAGCTGATTCACACTCGGGACCCATCGGCGTCGGATGATCTCTCGGTGCACACCATTGGTTGCATACGATCCAATCCGCAATCGAAACAAGCTCGCACTCCCTCGAGCAACCGTTCCCTGCCATTGGTGGCTCCATGCTGGGAGCTGGCGCAAAAGCACATCCATGTTCGGTACCCAAGAGTGAATCGTCCGTCAGATTATTGAGACCGAGCCGCGGTGGATCGACGAGAGGCGAGAGGAGCAAGAGAGCTGGAAATAAAGTTGAGAGAGAGAGAGAGAGAGAGAGTCTGAGTCAATTCGTCATTGATTCCTTTTGAGTCCAAAGTGTCAACATTTGCTTCATGAAGAGGAAGCAAGGGACTTTCGGGGGATGCGATCCATCGAGCGAAGTCTGAGGCCACGAAACACGCGAGGACTTTTTGGTGGATGTTGAACAATCGGGATCAGCAGCAGCAGCAGCAGCAGAAGTCAGCTCTTCTCCGCTCAGATCAGATCAGATCAGCTTATCCAGCGGGAGGGAAAGGAGGGCAATGATCGACGGCGATGGCGGAGACGGAAAGTGTGGAACGCTCACATTGGCAGCAGGCGGGGGCCGTCTTCGCGACGGAGCAAGTGGCCGGCCGAGGCGCAGGCACCATTCGCGTCCGTCCACATCCGTCCGTCGCCGGAGCGCGAGAGCGCAACACATCGACCGGGCCGAGCCAGTCACCAGGCCCTGACTGAGCCCCCTTCCTTCCTTCCGGCTCCAGGTGCTTCTTCTGTGACTGCCTTCGAGGGCGAGGCGCTGGCCGTCTCTCGTCCCTCGCTCGCACGCGCGAGCAGCCCCCACCAGGGCCGCCAATGGGATGGATGACCCCCCCTCCCTTCCCCCCCCATGGATGGATGGATGGATAGATGGAGGGAGGGATGGATGGATGAAGCACGGGCGAGCGAGGGGGGGGGGGGGGCTAAATTTATGCGCGGTCCCAGCTGGACAGGGGTTGGAGGACTAGGGGGGCTAGCTGGGGGGGGGGGCTTTACTTTTAGGGCTTTAGGCTTTTGGGGGCCGGGGGTTCAGGCACTATTATTAGCCCGCAGGGGGCTCGAAATCCTGGTGCCACCAAACCACGGCGAGCGGAAAATAGCCGAGCGCTGACAAGCCCAGGGCTCGCGCTTTGAGTCAGGCCCAGGACAAAGGGTACACTACGGTCAGTACCTACCGTGCACATTCATTGCTCTTTTGCGCCCCGGCTAATGAGCTCCGTCCCTTGCTTTCCGAGTGCCCCATTCGCATGCGGGGGCTGGGCTTCCAGTAATCATCATCACCTGCCGCTGCTGCCCCTGCAGAGCGGTTGCTGGCGACTTCTCTCGGCCATGTCAAGTGACGCTATGATTGCCGAGCCGAGCTGAGCTCACCGAGATCCGCCCTCGCTCCTCGCTCCTCGACCTGCTGGTTCCGTTCGGGCCAAGGGCTCGCGTTCCGGTGAGCCAGTGTTATCCTGAGCCCGGCCCAATGTCGTAGCGTCACCGACTGGATGAGCTCCGAGGTGATCATTGTTTCTGTCTGTCCACATGACATTGTAAGAATGCAGCCCTACACTTCGGTGGCAAGTTTTCAGACATATAAAGTGGGATTGGATTGCCTTCTATCCTTTTCTTTTGCTCATCATATGTTCCCTTCCCCTCACCCTTCCCGAAGCAAGTGCATGGCCGATCAAGTAAATCGGAATTTCTGAGCAAATGCAAAATGTAAACTAGTCCGATCGAGAGGGAAGGGAAGGGATGGGATGGTCGATCAAAGACAGGCAGGGAGGGCTCGGGGAAAGTACGGATTTCAGATGTGCTCTCTCTCGCTGCTGCTGCCTCGACAGGCGGAGAGGAAAGGGGCATGGATGGCATCGACGGCTGCTGCTTTGGGCAGGTTGGTGCCTTTTTCTGGCACCGTCTGCTGCTGGCAGCAAAAGTGCAGCAGAGCCATATCTCGCATCGCATCGCGGAGACTGGCGGCGAACAGCGAAGCCAAATCTATCGAGAGATTATCGAAACGGTCGGTTTTGCTGAGCGCTTGGGCCAAGTAATAATGAAAAGGGGCGTGGGGGGCTTTTGGTCGCTCGCGTCTGCGTCTGCGTGCATGCTCGTTCAGTGCGGACCTTCTTCGGCAGGCCCGAGGTCGCAGGAGCAGGAGCAGGAGGAGCGCGATGCACGCCCAGATCTTTTGATCCGGCCCTCTGACCCACAGGCGCGAGGGGCTGCCGTCGTGGAACGAGGGCGAGCGACGGGAATCTGCGCGGCCCTGTCCTCTTGCTCCTCTTGCTCCTCTTGCTCCTCGTCTTTTGGACTCGAGTCCGAGTCCGAGTCCGCGCGAGTTCGCAAGCCCCCACCCTTCGAGGTCGCCGTTGCCGACCTCGATCGAATCAACCCTTTTGCCCTTCATTCCTCATCACAAGCCTATACTCCTATAATCGCTAGTCCTCCTGGCCTCCATCTCCATCTCCATCTCTCTTCTCCGTCCTTCCTCTCCAGCTGGCCGAGTCTAGCTACACTACACTACACTAGAGCCCGCGGACATGGAGCCGAGATGAACACCATCGTCTCCGTCTCGCAGACCATGCTCGACGATGACGATGGTGACGAACGAGCGAGCGAGCTCAGAAGCTCTCAAGGGCCCAATTCGAATTTCATGCAGAGAGTCGAAAGTGGAAGACTCGTTCGTCGCTCGGACCAAGGACCCGGGGGGAAGGGGGGGAGAGAGTTTGGAGAGTGGGGGGACGTCGCCATGCAGCAGCAGCAGGAGGGGCGAGCTCTATCCAACGAAGCGCGAGCCCTTGAGCAGAGAGGCCCGAGGCTGCAGAAGATCCGCAGGGCAGGCTTTTCCGCTTTGGCGCGGGGACTGCACGTGGCTAAAACAGGCCCTGCGCCCCTCGCGCTCTCGTAGGTGCTAATGAGTGGCGAGATAATCAAAGTTCGGGGCCCTCGAGAGATGCCCGAGAAGCCTTTCTGACTGACCGAGCGAGCGAGCGAGCGAGTCGTACATTCATACGGATCGCGGTACTGTACGAGGACAGAATACAGTAGCGCCGAGGGGTGGGCACAGGAATTACCGCCTGCACGAGGATGGAGAGCATTGATGATGGAGGGGGAGAAAGGCCTTTCACCTCTTCTATTCCTGTCTGCCGGGTCTGGACAAGCACATGAGCTGGTCTGAGCCGTCTGGGCCTCTGGGCCTCTGAGCTACAAGCAAGTAAAGGCCAAAAAGCGAACCGATTTCAGATCACACACACCTTCTGGTCCGTCTACTCGTAGAGACGAACAGCAGCAGCAGACGAGATCAGACTCATCATCATCATCATCGGAGCCGATCCCAGCAGTAGCAGTAGTCGTCGTCCTCGTCCTCTTAGAAGGAGGAGGAGGAGGAGGAGGAGAAGAAGAAGAAGAAGAAGGGAGAAGGGAGAAGGGAGAAGCGCCACCGGCCGACTGCTTGCTTGCAGGCAGACCTGGTGCCTGCTGGAGCTCTTCGTCCTCGTCCTCGTCATGGCCCTGGAAACGGTGCTGCTGATGGACTCGAGCGTGAGAGGGAGCCCGAGTACCACGTCACCCATTCTGGGCATCTGGTTTTGGCCTAGCCCTCGTTAGTTCGAAATCATATCGGATATTTTTATCCTGGTCGGTCAATCAGAGTGGGAGGACGTGCAGGCCAGCAGAGGTTCATTGGTTGCAGCCCAACAGATGATCCTCGCTCGCTCGCTCGCTCTCCTCTCCTCTCCTCTCCTCTCCTCTCCATGGACGAGCGAGCTGATCTCTGCTGCTTTTCCGAGCCTCGATCCCGGACAGAAAAGGGCTCCTGGGGCGCAAGCGCGAGGGGAAGCGAGGGATCGAGCGTGATGTAGTTGAGAGAGTGAAGGAATCCTCGCCTGCACTCATGAGAGAACGAACGAACGAACGAACCGACGGTCGGTCCGGGGCATCAAATGATCCCGACCATACATAACCGAGGTCGTTGTGCAATCGAGTAGTCGCCAGGGCCTGCCGGGACTTCTTCACCCAGAGCGGCAATCAGTGGGTGGGTTCGTACCGCCTACACAAGCAGCAGCAGAAGCAGCTGCAGCAGTGCGGCCGGATTTAATGAGATGTGATGCTGCTGCTGGGCCAGGGCCAGGGGCCAGGGGCCAGTTCGAACTCGTGTGGCTCGATGGGCCTCGATCGGCCGGTCGAGACATGGAGGGCGACGAACGAGCAGATCTATTAAGACAAGCATATCTTTGCAAAAGGTTGCTCCTCCGGTGCCCCACCCCAATCATGGAAACCTGGAGTAAGAACATACCCGGACAAGGAAAAGCAAGATGCCATAGAACTCACGTGAATTACCTCCTGTATGGCCCTCGCCTTGGCGCTCGAGAGATCGAGCCCACATGTTCGAGGACTACGATACGCGTCCCCAATCCGATTGGTCTCGCCCCCAATCATAGGCAAAGTATCAGAGGATGGAGGTGGGGGTAGTCAAATGAGCAAGATGTGTGCCAACAAAAGGAGACAGACGATCAGCTAGCTGCTGCTGCTGCTATCTATGCTCCGGTGTGCTGTGCTGTGCTGCTAGGAGCACTCGAACGAAAGTTGTAAAATCCTTCAGTGCCCTGCACTGCATGGGTAAGGTTCTGCATGCTTCCCTTTTGGGTCGCGCAAGACGGGAGAGTCATGGATTGAGAGAATGCAGCTGGTCGACCTGCTCTGACCTGCTCTGCTCTGCCCTGTCCTCCTATTCACTACTTACTACTGCGACGATTGAGGTAGCACCAGCAGCCCCAGACCTAAAGAAGCTCGTCTGAGTTCCGATCGATGTGACATACCATTCTGAGGATTGAGCCTGCTTTCTTACCAAATTCTTTGCTAGTCCTGAGCAGCAGCAGCAGGAGTAGTAGCGATGGTAGTAGTAGTGGTAGCAGTGGTAGATCTGAGCTACGGATCAATCATGTATCATCATCTATCATCCATCAGCGCTCTCTCACAAGCGCTAGGAAGAGCGATGTCGTTTGAAAGAAGTCTCGCAAGGCCCTTGACCTTTAGCCTGCCTGCTGCCTCTTTTCCCACCGAATCGCAGAGGCTCTTGATTTTTGTCGCCCTGCTGACCTCACAACCGAAAAGATTGCAAAGCAATGGACACGACAAATGCATGTCGCTTAAATTCCTAAAGGTCTCTCTTTTCTTCAGAATGTGAAGAGTGTGACCCAATCCACCACATTCTCCTAAAAAGTGCTGTCCAGCGCTGGCAGTGAATATCCAAATTCAGCGAGCATCTCCGCCTCGAGCGAGGATCTCGCGGTGATGTGACTGAGCTCATTCATAGCCGAGCGTTGTTGTTGTTGTTGCAGAGCTGCTGGAATCCATGGTTTCTTTTCGCTCGGCCATGCCATGCCATGCCATCCCACCCCACCCCACCCCATGGCCTCGCGTCACCCGGACATGACCGCAGCACTCGGTCATTGCAGATTTCATGGAATCTCGGCCTTCATGAGTGTCATGTTGTGGCCCTTGTGGTCCGAGCAACCGCTGGGCTTCATTTCCGTCTCCAATCTCTCCGCATGCGTTCGCAAGTCAAGATTTTCTTTTATCTGAACATCATCAGCATCCTCTCGAGCTGACACTTCTGTGCCGAATTTCTCCTCTCATCCACTTCCACACCCACTCACTATTCGCAGCCCTGCATGCTCTGGTCTGGTCTGGTCTGGCCTGGCTGGTCTGCTCTGCTCTGCTCTGCTTTGCTTTGGCTTGGGTTGGTTTGCTTTGGTCCGGTCTGGTCTACCAGCTGCTCAATCTTGACTCTGCTGCCAAATCTCATGAGCTGGATAAGCTATTTAAGCTGCCCTGGCCTGGCCTGCGCTGCCCTGCCGTTTGGGTTGCACCTCGCAGCGATGGCGGACTCATGCACATCTAGCTAGCTGACTGGCATGTGCATGCGAAATCCTCGTTCCAAGGGCAGACTGGAGATTTGAAAGGGAGGCCTCATGCTCGTCGTCCTCGTCCTCAACCTCCTCCTCATCGTCCTCCGACAGTGGATAAGCTTCAGAAAAGGTGTGGTTCTGTTGCAACATTCCCCACCCTCAGAAGGCATGCACTTCCATCTGTTTGTCGCCATTGCTGGCATTCATGACGCTCGAAGACCAGCCGAGACCGACCGACCGACCGACCTCCCGAGGACTGCAATTGTCAACATGGACGTCACGGACGGATGGATGGGTTTCGGACCGACCTTGAATCAGGCCATTTAATTCACCACCCGGTGCAGATTGCCATCGTTATTCTGTTGCATCGCAGTAAGCCCCATATGATCAACATCAGAGCTCCCCTGCTGCTGCTGCTGTTGTGCATCGGACTTCTCAGCATGGAAACGCTCGCTGGGCCCTCAGTCTGACACAGCGATGAGAAATTATGAAATTAGTCCTTCTTCCTCTGGACTCTTGGTCAGAGGACGAAGGATTAGCAGCAAGGACGCGGCGGCCCGAGTGGCCCTCGCACGATTCGCTGTGCTCTTTTCGGCTGATGAGCCCGTGGACTCGTCCTGCATGTTCCTCCTGCTCGGCCGAGCTCGCTCCGTGAACCGTGAACGGGAACTCGTGCACCGAGTTTACATTCTCGACCTCTATCTGCAGACTGGGCATACTTCACGTGCTCTCGAGCAAGGGAAACACGCGTCTCGTGGACTCTTGACATCATGGCTGCATTTGCCTTTGGCTTTGGCTTCAATTTCCCACCATGCGTTTCAGCAGGCCAGATTCGAGCAACGTGATTATGCGTATCCTTCTGCTTCCCCTTCACGATCCGCTGCTTTCACCGACTAATGAGCTCGTATCATCGGAGTTCAGTTCCCATGCGAAAACTAACAACTGGAAGGTCTCCTGCACTCTTCCTTCGTGCTCACGTTCAATCAACGCGATCCGTCTGCGTGCTCTTGGCAAATTCGGCATTGACTCCCTCTCATTGCTCCTCATGGGTACATGAACAGCCCACGTTCTTCAGTCTACGTGGGCCATGTCCGGGTCTATGATACATCGGGGATTTGATCCGGGTGAGATCTTGGAACACACTCACCATCATACCAGGGGATGAGGCTCGACAGGGCGCTTGAGCGTGGGCAGCGCCGTAGAGAGAGAAGCCTCACCTCGCAAACGTGGCTTTGTGCAGGTATGATACTGAAATGGTCGCGTGGATGTACCAGATGATTTTTACAGTCTTGACTGTTGGAGATGTGTCTTTACATACCGCCATTGTCAACTCAGGAAGTCCTCGGCCAAACTCGTGTTGGAGAAAATCTGCTTTAGTTTGTGTAACTTGTTTCACTGGCTTCCTCCTGCAGTCGTCAGCCTCTCATACGCTCCGGGCAGGGGAAGACAAGCACACATTTGCAGTTCATCGTTTTCCGGCTCTTCACTTGATGTTTTAGTATCCTCATAGGACCAAACAGGAACCGTGCCTGCGCATTCTCTGAAGACTCGCCATCGTTCACACTCTTGAGCGTCAGTACGGTCTTCGTACATCAAAATAAATGAACTAATTTGAGTCTTATTTCCATTGCAGCCGAGTTACACCGACTTGGCCTCTTGGTTGCAGCAATAGCTCACTTTATCAGTTTAATGGAAAGTGTGATACGAGCTTCCAGTTCAGCCACTAGTGTCATGGTTGTTTACAGACCATCATACAGACTCTGCTGTGATTTACGAGTCCCAGATCTGGTCTTGAAGGATACTACTGAGGCTTTGCGCCCAGCAAATGGTTGTTATTCCTTCACTGTGAGGACTCGTACCACAGCCTTTTAAGAGAACAGACTTTCTGAGTCAACTATTTGAAGAATCCTTGGACGTTAGTACATACGGACTAAACAAAATGCCTACCTCTTGTTAAACTGGTTTCTTTATGTTTTCTGTATGCGATGGATGACAACGCCAGAGATGAAGACGATGTTTTATGGAGAAAACATGTAGACAGACACCGGCATGACGTGAGCGAGAAATATACATTCAAAAGACACTTGGAACATGCAAATTTCGGTGGGGTATTTGGAGATCGTGTACGACAAAATGCCACCATAAGTAGAGACATGAATCACGGAATCGGTAAGATTGGAGAACTGAAAAGCGACAAGACAACCGAACAAGTCACATCACTACAATGACAACAAAACGTTGAATGACCTCGGTTGTCAGCCAATTTACCAAGCAACTAACCTTCGCCACAGTAAGCAACGCCGCCTTTCGAAAAACCCATCAAAACAAAAACAGTGTCATACAGAGCGTATGGGAGCGGGCGATCGATTTCTCGCAGCCAAACCTACACTCGTGCATACTTAGCCTCTTACCACCTGGTCAACAAAGTACCACACGACTCACAATTAGAAACGCGCCGGAAAAAGATCCACTGCAATCCCCACTTCGTAGATGCTTGACGACAAGCCAAATGAGTTTCTGTTTGGGTCCCCAAATCACTTGGAAAAGAGCAGATAAGCGTTCGGCACGACAACGTTCTGGAGCACACAGAGGAAGTCCAAACAGAATCAAAAAGATCACACTCAAAATAGGGAATTGCACTCAACAGATACAACCGGACGTAAACGAGAATGGGCTAGATACCAGTGTACGCGGACACTTCTCTGCAACTATCTCGCTTACGTGTACAAACTTCCTCCTCAAAATCTGATCGGGATCATACCCAGAATGCTTTTGGGCCACATCTCCTCGTAATTCTGTATATCTCAACATATCACCTCAAGTGTTATATGCTCCTGCTAGAGAACTTCCTCCCTGCAGTAGATATCAACGCCTCTCCAGAAGAGGGAACAGCTTCCTCCATATCCCACTCACGTCTCACTGCTAATCTAAAGGTGCTGTGGAGTGATGCACAACGAAGGTGCTAAACTTTCAAAATTTCATGATTATCGGCAAAAACTCTAACGTGGCCACTCTAGACTTTTGACTGTAACATGAGTCTGATGACATACAGGTGGAAATTTTGCAACAGCAAACAAGGATTTCAAGATATGCATATATTCTAGCGTAAATGTATCAGTCAGACCTACGATTCTGTCTGCAGTTAATACTACGAAAAGTAATCTCATAAGACAGACATGTGAAAGAACAATAACAGAAGTACACGTTTTGTACTCGTTTTGTACGCATTTCATAGTAAAATGCGTACAATATTGAAAATTGAAATGCGTACAATTCCATTTGTGTGTATAGACCAAAAGCGAGTTACCGTTCACATTGGAATAGAGAAAGATAGGAGAAGAAACGATACAACTTAAGAAAGACCAAAGAAAGTTTTCACGAATCTTCCTCGCGTCTCGGTTCCAAAGTGCGGCAGGACCAGTTGCAAGGGTTAGCTTCAAGGGTAGCACAACTTATTATGAAGGACGATAAAACCGACAAGAAAAGTCATAAGAGCAGATACGGTGGAAATACGCCCAATTACCAGATGAGTAAAAGGAATATCTTAGGTAGGTAGAGCGCCATGAAAGGATCAAACCTGCCTTGCTCTTGCACTCTTAACAAACAGAATTGTATCTGAATTGAATCTGAATCTGAATTGCAACAGGATAGGCAGTGAAGCCTAGAAAACCTACGCGAACCTAAAGAATAAGAATGTCCACACTATGTTCTGAATGATCTTAGTCAGTTACTCGAACAATAAAGTGGATCACTATGATTTATAAAAGGTAAATAGTAATTTACTTTAGGGTTAATTCAGAGTCACCAGCCACCATGGTTCCGAATTTGTGTACACATGTTAAAACTGAGACTGAAAGGTGTATATATTGCTGCTCAAGAAACTATTCAGGCCAGCGAGTACATCTTGTCATTCCATCATGTACTTAATACAATCAAAAGCTGTAAAATTACTAAGATGAGGGGGTGGTCATAGCAATCTCGGTAAAATTCAAGTTGGACTTCAGTTCAATCTGGTGAATGTAACAGTGAGAGTTCTGATCTCAGGAGCAATGGTCAGGATCTAATTGGCAGTATTGAGTATGCGCAACATATGGCAAATGCAAGAGTCCACAAAACCATCTGTGGGAGGGGAGAAATCATTTGGAGGAATATCACATCTATTCACTGAACTTCATTCAACTCCAAAACATTGACCACAGATACTAGTATCAGTAGCATTGAAAGTAAAGAACTTGAAGGTTAGAATGAATGTGGGCAAGATATGGCAATTGCAAGAGAGTAGACAAGGAGCTGCTACAGTATGAGAGATATCGTCTGGAAGTAGGTAACGTAAAGACACAAAATTTACAACCACTTAACAAACTAAAAATAACAATAGCATTAAAAGCAAAGAACCAGCGTAAATCCGACGGGAGCAAGTAGATGAAACTATTCAGGTATACTAATGTTTAAAAAAACGTCTTCCGGAAACACAGCGACTTCATCGCTCATCAATTTCCAATACGCTAAGTAGAGCCAATGATTCTCATGTGTGTTACTGAAGAGAAAACACGTAAAATTTTCAGGTAACTCTAGACATAAGATTGATCGTACAAGTTCGCAACTCGAGATGGGGGATGCGGCAGACAAAAGATTGAAACACTCTACTCAATCTTAAATTAATAAAGTATCTACAAGACTCATGGACATAGTACCAATGACACAGATGGATGGGAAAAGCAGGTGAAAGATATATTCAGGAAGCGAGATTTAATATGCGTTCGCAAGGACAATGACTGAATTTAGAAGTATGCAAGGCCTGTGACGTTCTAGTCTGACCTGAAGAGTTTCAAGATGACTAGACACGTCGGTATATTTGAAAAAAGTCCAACTGTAACCTGCTTGAACGAAGGTAATCCCATGCAGCCAAGTCGATGCCACTTGGACGCAGTTGAAAGCGAAAGACCATACGGAGGACGTCAAACATGAAACTCAGAAGAAAAGAAGGGAGAAACTGGAAGAGAAGTGTTGGCATGTACCATGAAATACAAAGGAAGGATGTGTTATCTTCGATTCTCTGCATACTGAACTGAAGACAAGAGACCATAACCAACGAAGGAATTGAGCAATATATATTTCCTTCTATAATTGAAGCCTATTCTTCTTGCAAGTTCAAGTGCAAGTACTCAGTACGAGCCGCAGAAAAAACATTTTAAATCAAAAGTTGTGCCATTACACTGTGGCCCAATTGAAGATTACAAAGACCACTAGAGATACTGCAGACGTGCAGCGGACGAATTCTTACCCATATGTAACAGGCTTGAGGAAACAAAATCCAAAGCAGTAAAGTCTGACAAAAGTTAAATATTCCTAGAACAGTACAATCTCACGCAAGGTGAATGAAAGGAAGCAGCAGGAAGAGGTACGACGTCGAGGCATCAATAATATGGCGGACAACGAAGGACCAATATGATAGAGTAATGTTAACAAGAACCCTAACTGTATCGAGTAGAGGATGAATAATCTTGAGCTCTATTGATGATAAATAAAAGTCGAGACGCTAGCAATACTTAAGTGGCATCAATCGCTGCCACTTAAGTAGAAAAAATATGTCATATAATTAACAATGAGTTGGTACATTACTGAATACGAGCAGACATAAACAATGATCGAAGCTGAAAGGCATGCCAGTACAGTAAGGAAACTTAAGTCTGCACATTACCTCCAGTGTTAGGGGTTGCTGCATATGTGAAAGCGTAGAAGCAAAAGGTGACTTACTTGACTGACGCTTGAAGCAGAATAGATAAATGCAGCGCAAATCAATATAATCTGACTAGAAACAGAATTCCTACAAAGAAAATCAATCGACACCAGAGATTAAGAAACGCTTATCCTATGTCCGAAGAGCTAATTGGAGATTTACAAACTTGTACCATAGTGGTACATAAGAAGGCATTCTCTTGCTCTAAGGCAATGATAATTTTGATCTACGCCTCAACTTGCAGTTTAAACTCATCACATTCTAAAACGAATGTGATGCAATTGTTCATCTCGAAGCCAGTTCTGTTCGTAAAATAGTAGTCATAAGGAGTTGAATTTAGTTACTAACTTTGACTATAGGTTCGATACTTTAGGGTTTGAAAGCCATTAGCCACCTCACGGTGTTTCGAGTTGAGGCCTCAGCTTCAAATGTGAGTCATGAGTCTGTACATATTGCTAGAACACAATTCACAGTGAACACCTTGCCGGTGATCACACCTTTTGAGAGTTTCATTGCTTTGAAGTAAAGTTGGTGCCAACTCCAACTTTACTTCACTCTGGCTAAGTTTTGATTTGTTTTCAGTTGAAGCGAGGGGGACGTAATCTAGAGTTTGATCCTAATGCTGCTTCTTACAGACCACCAGAGGGTAATGGGGGGTTGGAGCAAGCTATGATGAAACCATGGGAGTAATCGGATTTTGATGAAGATGAGATGTTGACAGTACAGCACACAGAGACCAAGAGGACGTTCCGGAAGACTGAGGATCACGTCAACAAAGACGTGGTGGCAAATATCCCATATGCTCAGGACTTCGGGCCAACCTGAAGGCTATCAGTAAGATTGGTATTCCTTTTTATATCAGACTTTGATAGGCAGGGATAATTACCTTGACCCTTAAAGATGTTGGCAATCCTGACAAACAACTTCACCATAAGTGATATCCACATGGGACCAAGTATAATTTATGAATTTTCAGGGTATGGTGAGTTATGCAGAATCGTTCACCCTCCATCTATTAACAAATAGGTGGAGAGATTGGATGTCAAGACAACTTTCCTGAATGAAGAGATGGAGGTCAATATCTACATGGATGTACCCGCCATTGCTTCAGATGAGAAGGTGTGTCTTTAAAAAAAAAAGACTCGGCTGAAGCAAGCACCAACGAATTGGTATGAACTGCTAGTTTGTTATTCTCATGAAACAAGGCACAAGAATAATTTGGATGTTTACAGCAAGGATTGAATGCTTTACATCATACTGTATGTAGATAATATGCAGCTAATGGCGCAGGGAGTTAAGCCAGTGAAGAAAGTTATCTCTTACTCTTGCTCTATTTTCGTGATGACAATAGTAGATCTAGCTAAGCTCGTATTGCGGATCAACATTTTGAAAAACAAGAAGGAAGGGTGGATCAACCAGACCAAGTACATTGAGAGGGTTCTACAAAAGTATAGTACAGAGGATGCAAGATCTATTACAACACCCTTGGATCCTCGTTGTCGATTCAGAAGAAACACGGAAGAATTTGGCAACAATTGGAGACATGCCAGTCCTTTACCAGAATGTTGTACGTTCACTAATGATTGCAATGGTTTGTAACACCCAGACATATCTCATTCGATGGGAGCTTTACATGATACACTACCAACTCAACTCCAGCTCATTTGGGATGTGTTAAAAGAAGAACTCATGTACCTAGAAGGCACTGAGGGCATTTACTTGAAGTACAGGAAGTTAGGAACTGAGCCATACCACGAAGTCATGAAGGCCAAAACAGAAAGTGAGTCTGTGAGATTGATATATGTAAAACTAGGTGGGTTGATAAAACTAGCTAAATCCCTGAAGCAAGTCAAGCGGGAGAACTTGAATGCATGCTTCAGTGATCTTGCAAGAGGACAAACACATCCTATCTAAATGTTCGTACAGAACAAAACACCATCGTGACTAAGTAGCCGAAGCAGGATGAGAAACATGGAAATTAATTTGCTGGAGAAATCTCACACGCAAGCGACCGGAGACACAGAAACAGCTCAAGCGGGCAGTAAGCAGCTCTCCAAACATCAAGGTACATCTATCATCTTCTTGATGTTGTAGTAAATACTTCGGTAAATGACAGAACCTAGGAAACCATGCGGAGAGCAATTCACCTAAATTTCTACATCTCAACGGATGTACAGATTTTATTACATTCTTAATTACAGCAGATCCTCGCCTTCGAAGCAAAAGAGAGACACCTCTTGTTTAAAAAGAAAAAGAGGGTACCGCAGATAACTTGTAATATCACATAATAGTATATGCACATATTTATTTATATCGCGAGAGAGGATACACGTTCAAGGCGGCAAGACGAGGACCGAAAGTCAGACGCCTCAGTACAAAAAGTTCCATCCAGCAGCTTAGCACGATAGTAAAAAAAGTACATACTACATCTCAAATACGCATGAAATGAATGAATCTTGAAGAGAATGAATTCCCATGCAGCCCGGCCCGACGCTCGTTTAACCTAGTTCGCGACAGTCGACAAGTGAATGCATATGACGTTCCGGCAAATAGGAAACTGTGGACAAATATTCACAGGTGTCACAGGAAACCCAGGAAACGATGTAGAAGCTTGGATAACATGGATGTATCATAGAAACTCCGAGGCCATAGTTACCGCAGAAAAAAAGAGTGTATCATCTACAAGTCAGCCCCTTTCAATCATCTCCCTTCAGAACAAGAACAATTACATATCAAGTTTTGATTGGTGGTCGTCACGCTGGTTTCCTATCCAATAGATACGGATCCAGTATTGGTGGTTTAAAGGCACAGAGGCAAGAGGTAATCCAACTGAAGGCTTCTCTCAAAGTGGCATTATTTATAGACGAACTTTTAGAAGGAAACTATGCAAGGTGGGAAGAGTTTAGCACATGGCCAAGCATGTGGTACTGAAACCGGTGAGTCAACATTTGTTGACAGTGAGTAAACGAGGCAAAAGAAATAACTCATCGATCCAGTTCGCAAATCACTATTGTAAAAGTAAAAACTATTATCATTATTAACATAAGGAACAATCGAGCTTTATCGGGATAACGTAGCCCCCCACTTAACCTGGCGGTTCAAATATTCCTTCATGATGTTAAAAAGTAAAATACATTGATAAGCTGGTCTAGTTGGTTGACAGGTAGGAGCTTTAAGTTCGGAACAAATGAAGACTGGTTCAATTCCCAACTATGGGAAGGATATATCCATACACCCAGGGCATTGTTACACATACAATGATTTGCTTTGGGTACTTAGACTCGTATTACGTACTCAAAGCAAGCGGCGGGGCTACAACAAAAATCAAGGGGCCTTTGAGTTAGTCACCGGAACTGGGTTTGATTTGCATAGATACTGAATATGCAAGCAACTTAAATACAGCCTGAAAATGAAATGCTGCCAACTTCCGAAGTAAAGAGCAACATCACAACAGGTGCAATTATCAATTCAAGAATCTGTTTCAAAATTCAACAGGAACAAACGTGGAAGTGGTCCAAATGTGAGGATCAGCAAATTTGTCAGAAAAATACGAGAAACCAGAGAAGTATATGCAATGGGGAAACGGATAACATAAAAAAGAATAAGTACACAAAAGAGATTACAAAGAACCAAAAGCGACAAATTGATTTTGGTGTACGCGCAGAGTAGGACATTGTAAAAAACTTCAATTTCAAATAAACAACGAAAATTGATGAAAAAGAAGCGCAGATATGTAATATTTGCTTGTGAAGCACTTTGGCGGATCTAACAGAAGTATCATCCAGCAGGAAATTGGAAAGAACAGTCCCCTCGTTAGCTGTCATTCTCTCATACTAGAGAAATGATACAAGTGTTGCAGAAATTTGAGAAATAAAAAATGAGAAATTACAGTTGTGTATTAAAGGAAAAAGCCTCTGTTGCAATTTAAGAGGATAGAACCCGAAAGTAATACCAACTAGGTGAGCTACACGAGTTACCCTAAATGTTCGTCAATCGCAGTGCAATTGGTTGCAAAATCTAATGTTTCTTGACATAAAAAAGTTATCTAGATAGTGCAAGGTGTACAGATGTTAAGACATTTTGTCTCAGTAAGACATGCCCAAGAAATCGAGAATATGTCGTGCATTCAACTTATTTTGGTGAACATGTGAGTTCTTCATCTGATTCTATGATGATGGTCTAACATGGTGTTTCATGACGAAATTAATATCCGTGTCAAAGAGATGTAAAATACGCGCGGAACCAGCTTGGTACCATAAGTTGTTCCAATAAAATATTGAGGTTAAAACAGGAAGAGAAAACGATAGATTGTCTCCAAGTAGAAAATTCGAATCTGTACGAGTTATTCTAAATAAGATGCGAAAGTGTAAGTGCTAAGTATATATAAGATATTGTACACAAAACCGGAAAGGGACGCCCCCACGAACATGCCCTCGTTTCTTTTACCAAATCTGATAATTTAGAGGTCGTATTTACAAATAATAATAATTTAAAATAAGAGGACTTGCAATATTGAGACCCAGGGGATGAAACCAGGGATCGTCTAATCCAACATTTTCGTGGTAATGTCCACAATATATTAGGGGTTTTAATACAAAGGGAATGTTATTGACTTTTTAGAAACCTGAACAGGATATACCCTAAGCACGTGAACAACACGTTTGATAACACATGCGTGTAGAGGATACCGATCTACAATTGATGTTGCTGTGCGTATAGCTGCAGTAAAGGTGCTGCTGAAATATGTAATTGGCACGTTTCATTTACACAAAGGAGACATCATAGAGGGGTGAAGGAGATGACCTAAAGTCACCAAGAGTCCAAGCAAGGTTGTAGCAACGTAGTTTGATGAACAGAGTTTCTGTGTCTGTAGTGTATGTATATTACACTATTGGTAAGAACGAAAACACGTACTCAGCACGCAAGGTTGGAGAACCATGACGAACTTTAATAGGCATGCTTAAGCCATATTGTGAATATTATATGCACAAGGCGAACGTAACTAGTGGTGAAAGCTCCAGACATTACAATTGAGACACTGTACATACACTCCAGTTCGAGCGTACAAGGCAATCATGTTGTACATACATTCAAATAGCCTAAGAAGCAGTGGAAACAGACGAGATTATAACTGAAACATTTCAACAGATGTGACTCAACGGAGTTAATTTTTAGTTTTATGAAGTACATAACCAGATCTGCTAGGTTCGGACCAGTAATTCTGGATATAGGTTTCGTAATCAGGAATCGGAATCTTGAACTATCCTAGAGAAGAACCTGAGAACTTCACAATGTGTAACCCAGCGAACCACTGACCTTCAACTGCGAAAAGTGTGGATAACTTTATAGACTTTCACTAACGGACGACTGCAAACGTTCCACTCATTGGCTTAAGTAGAAGGTAGACGCACAAGATTCAATTAAGCAAGGAGTCTCCAGTGTCCCAGGCATCTGCTTTTTCCAGAAAATCGAAACATGACAAACGAATATTCCTTCAGAGGCAAGTTAACACAAAAGTAACACCGTCATGCAACTTTGAAACACAAATATATACATACCTTTTCTTCAGGTACTGAAAAACGTCGGTCATTACGACCATGCCCGCCCGCAAAGAAGACGGACTTAGCTGTTGACCTCAACCACTGAATGCGGACATCACCGTATTCTCCGACAGCACCTAGCCCAACTAGCCACATGTGCGGACCTCTTGTATCTTTGAAATTTGATCCCTTTATTGCCAACTTTGAAGACACAAACCAGTGGTCAATCACTGGCCATACATTTCAATCAACAGAGTACACGAGGTACATATTTCGGCTGGAGCAAATCACTTGTTTGAAAAGGGGGAGGCAAGTAAAGGTCATGTATCTACATTCCTGACCAAAATACTTGGTACTATTCAGAGAGTGATTTCCAGGAGATCACAATGGCAGCTCCTTCAATTTTCCATACTCATCCTGTACATGCACTTATACCTAAAACCTTACTATGGCCTCTACCACTACAAACAGCAGAAGATCATCAAATCTCAGTAAGTAGACCTACAAGAAAGTGTAGGCCACACTGCTAGGTATTGGTACTTCAGTAAAAATACCACAGGCCTCCAGCTCTATTGCTAGAGGTACTTACAAAGCCAAGTTATTGCGGCTGAAGACTGAGTCTTATGATGTTCTGCAATTCTGCTACCACCCTCCCACTGTGTACTAAAACGACAGGAACTTTCGTAGTAAATTCTGCAAAGGCACATGTGGGCCAAAAGTGCTCTACAGCCTGACCAAGGCACCACATAATCAAGCTGCTAGATAAGGAGGAAAGGGGAGGATGACAATAAAGCATGACAAAATCACTGGGTCTGGCTTCCCAACTGCTGCCACCCTATGCAATAAACTACCATACTAGCAATTCCATTCACTCGAACTACTTCGCAAAGGCTTGATGAGCGTGTTTATCTGTACTATACTGCTTTGCACAACTCTCTCGGGTAAACTTCTTCCCTGGTAAATCAAAAAAAATCCTCTTATGGAATATTTACATCTGATCCTTTGAATCATGAATTCGAAGACCAGACTGATCTCCACTCAGAGCTTCGAACAAGTTGTTGACTCGAAGAGCAACTGCGTGACACCTTCCATCAAAATTACAATAATGTGCCATGCAGTTGCTTGTGCGAATCGAGTTGCTAGTGAGGTAATTGACTATCACTGAAACAAATTTAATCCTAGCAGGGGATCTCTCTTGGCGAAAAACAACCTAAAACATCACTTAGATGCAAATGAGAAGCACCAAATGTGTAATGGACCATCTGAATCACAGAGCATGTGAACGGGCAGTCCATATGTGTTGATTTCAATAACGGACTGCAGTTTCGCAGAAAGATACTAAGTGACTGTCAGACATCCCTGTACAACCCTTTTCCAGACTTTCTAAGCCCTGCAGATTACAGCGCCACGCCAGCTTCAGGTAGTTCAGGGACAAATTGGAAGTTGCTGCTTTAGGTCCTGGCTGCACTGCCAACGGGAAAGCAGAATACCCTGCTGCTGCCTACATACTTCGTCAACAGTGGTCAACAATGTTAGTAAACGAACAATGGAACACTGCAGTTCTTCTTCTTGCAGGTCCTTATCATGGTTTCCAGTAGCGCCCAAGTAGCTTGTCGCAGGCAGCTTGATGTGCATCCATGCATCAGAAGAGATGCTTCGACAAATATCTTTCCTATCAGAATATCTTCGTTGTTTTGAAATAGATTTGTATGAGAGGCAAATCAGACCAATACAGCTCGTCTGTCACTAGCTCCAAAGCAAAACCTTGCACATGGTGTCTGCACAAAACAGATATGAAGCACATCAGGAGATCAAAAGCGGCGGGAGAAAGTGTAATGAGTAATTATACTGTCTACAGAATTACTCAGATAGGTGTACATGGCTAGAACAAATTGGGACAACAGACGTAACCTCAAAGCCTCCTTATCTGAGAATAACTGAAGAGTATACATATATATTCCTCATTTCAAAGTAACAACCTCTATATAACCAAACCAAACGCCATAATTCACTTTTGATTGAACTTCAGTGACGAGGAGGTGGTTAATACACCTACAAAAGAGTCTCAACGACGAAATAAGCAAGACACAAAAACTGATTGTTGTCAATTTCCTGTGACGCTGGATAAAAAACGTGAGTGCTGCTTTAAACCTCAAACGGCACTTGAGCAGACGATCGCAAAGAATTACACTAGTTTCAAGGAAACGATATAAAATTCCTGAGTTCAAGCCCAAAGTTAAACACTGGCTAAACATCCTACAGACGCGTGCTAGAACATTTACTAGCAGTAAGGATAGAATTTAGGACAAAAATGGGAGTCTAAGATACAAAAGAAGAAAAACCCCTCTATAATGGGAATCAGTGACAAGGTCCCTCCTCGGACGGAATACTATCCTATTCAAATTTCTTGCTATTTGATCGGGCACTTTAACACGAAAATAAAATGTTTGTAGGATCGACATAGACATTTCAATTTTGGTTATCACCGACATGGAAACACGGAAAAGGACTTGCGAACCAGATATCACGAAACGACTGGTAGCGATAAGTTCCGCTTCATGTCATGCTTTAAGGCTCCATCGAGATCCGTGAGACAATCCTTAGACGCTAAACAGTGATGATTAAAATATTATGACTAAAATAGGAAACGTGTTATGAATAGTTATTAATTCTTTCCTGCGTTCTCAGATTTGGCAGGTGAGAAAGGAGCATAATAACGAGACAAGTAATCCTTGCCTGGTAGACTAAAAAACTGATCCACAAAAAATAATTGACATATTGATTGATGAACACCTCTATCTGTAACTCTTGGCTAGTTAGTATCCCAGTTATCCCCGTTCTCTCGCCACTCGCCTTCATTACTCGCTGCTTGTAGCTTCAATAAGAAAATCTCGTAGAATCCAAAATCTTCCGAAAAAGGTATTGGAAACTTAGTCTAGAGGCTGTCTCATGACTGCTGGCAAAGATCCTAAAAAGAACACCAAGGGAACGGGACCAATGGACCGCCTGAAATTGCTTGTTGCTAAATCCACATCTACTTCATACTTCGTCTCGACGCGCATGTCCTGGAATTGTCGCTTCCCTACTGCCGTAACCGTACAAAGAGATTCCACGCATAAAAGAAGGTAAATAACGTGTGGGAATACCTATATATGTAGATTTGCGAGCTGGCTTTCCACAACCAGCGAAGGCGGCGGAGTTACTGGCATTTTAATCTGGGGATCAGAAGGGATGCTTGGCAATCTCGCTTGAGCAATAGAAGCTCTCGCCTCCTTAACCGCCTGTGCAGCAGCCTGTGCAGACGCTTGCGCTAGTCCTTGCAGAGTCATGATCACCTCCATAGTATCGTCAAGGTAATACTTGGCTTTACTAGGCTTCCGCCCCACAGTACAGGCGAAAACTTTAGCTTGAGAGTCGGGTCCCGAAATTGTAGTTGCAATACTCTCAAACATGTCTTCGTCAGATCGATCATCTCCTATACACAACACGAAGTCGGGAGGTGCACCCCGCGCCGTCATGGTTGACAGGAGTTGTTCAACTACCATACCTTTCGTAGCTCCCTGTTCAAGCGTAATAAGATGACAAATCATTAATCCCAGAACATCGCTCCCATTATCAGGACGCACAGGCAGAGGTGGTACAACCGGGGCCAAAACTTTACCTGAGGTTTAACTTCTACAATATGTTGTCCGCTTTTCACAGCAACTGGCTCATTGGCCAAAACACTTTCCAAGTGATCCAACAACTCTTTAGCTTGCCAAGATCCAAAGTCTGGATCTGCATCTCGAAAATGCCATACAAGCGCACTTTCCTTGGCTTCAATGTAAGAACCATCAGTACACTCAGTGTACAGCCTCATAATTGGCTCAACTAATTCCTTCCAATCGAAGTCCTGGACAGAGATACAAGAAGTCCATTCTTCATCTCTACACCACCTGCAACAGACGCTCAGAGACATACTTTTGCATGAGTATGACTCTCGTCCTCTAGACAAGAAGTTCAATGATGCACTCGTACAATACATCGTTACACTGCGGAGCTTAAACTTCACACTACGTCTACACACGTGTGCACTACAGGTATTCCTCTTATTCAGCATCAAAGGAAAAATACTAGTATCAAGAAATCACCTGTAAAAGAATCCATGCTCGGCAGCAATGCCTAACTTCTCACATGAGGAAAAACAGTCACTTAAAGTTTCTCGACCTCGACCACTCACAACGAAGACCACATTCTTGGGGTCAGCGCAGAGTGTGTTCAGGAGAGACAAGACTTGAGGACTAGGAGTCTTGCTGTGAGAGTTCTGGGGGATCATAGTCCCATCGTAGTCGAGTAAAATGGCACGGCTAGAGCTTCTCTTGTAAGCAGACACAATGTGCTCGGTTAAAAGCTTCCTGAAGTTAGGGCCGAGAGCGACCACTCTAAATCCAAGACCAAAGCCGATACCATAACACCTCCTCTGTGAATGCTCTTTGCAAGCTCGCTCCAAGTCGGTCACAAAGCTTTGTGCCCAGTATCCAACGTCGTGTGTACTGACGTACTTGAAATGCTTTTCGTGCCGGATGTGCTTCTCTGATTCAGGCATAGTTAAGGCGTGATTCATAGCCTCTGCCAAGGCATCGATGTTCCATGGATTTACACGTATTGCTCCGCTCAGTGAGGGAGAACAACCAATGAATTCCGATATCACCAACATACTCTTCTTGGGATGCTCAATCCCATCAGACTGGGTGTCGACAATCGAACTACCTTGCCTACATACGATGTACTCATAGGGGTACAGATTCATCCCATCACGGACAGCTGTCACGACACAACACTCTGCAAGTGTGTAGAAAGCAATTCTTTCCCACAGTGGAACATTTCTCTCGATGAACATGACCGGCAGATAGTTCTTGGTCCCAAACTCTTTGTTGATCTTCTTTACCAGGCCGTATATCTCATTTTGAACCTCGGTGACATCCTTACCACGACCTCTGGCAGGATGAGCAATTTGCACCAACACCACCTTTCCTTGCCATTCTACGTGTTGCTTCAAAAGTGCCTCCATGGCCAGCAGTTTAAGACTGAGGCCCTTGAATATATCCATATCATCCACCCCAAGCAATACTACTTTCCCCTCCAGTTGTGCCTTCAGTTCTGCTGTCCGCCACTTCGTCTCCGGCATATTTAACCCAGCTTCCAGCTGTCCCATGTGAATTCCTACAGGCATAATCTTGATTCCAACCATACGACCGTAGTACTCCAATCCTATATATCCTCTTTTGGATTCATACTCTAGCCCCAACATTCGACTGCAGCAAGATAGGAAGTGTCTCGCATAGTCAAATGTGTGAAAGCCAATCAAGTCAGCATTCAACAGCGACCTGAGAATCTCATCACGCACTGGCAAAGTCCTGTAAATCTCAGACGAAGGAAAAGGACTGTGCAGGAAAAACCCCATCTTGATCTTGTTGAACCTCTTGCGCAAAAAGGTGGGCAGAACGAGCAAATGATAGTCATGTATCCATACGTAATCAACATCCGGGCTGATCACCTCCATCACTTTGTCGGCGAACATTCTGTTAGCTGATACGTAGGCTTGCCACTGGGCGCGGTCAAACCGGCCTCCGTGACCCGCATTCAAAGGAAGCATGTAGTGAAACAGCGGCCACAATTGACCCTTACAGAAGCCATGGTAGAAATTGCTTCTTACCTCGGCCGGCAGGAATGCCGGCACGCAATTGAAGTTCTCCAGCAGCTTTGCTGCCACTTCGTCTTGCTCATCCACACTCACATCCACTTTCAGGCACCCTATGTAAATCACTTCCCTGTCAGCCGAAACACCATCCTTGAGCTGCAACATCAACGAATCGTCATCCCACTTGAACTCCCAGCCGTGCCCATCCTCACTTCTTTCTGCGTGCAGCGGCAGCATATGCCCTACAATGATCATATGCTCCTGCGCAGTGCCTCCGGAGGCCGTGCTCCTGGGGCTGGGACACACATCCTGCTCGCTGCACAGCCCTGCCACGGTCATCACTCGCGGCATTCGCCTGCCCCATCGCGGCGACTCCGCCCCTGTACCTAGATCCAGAAGGTTTGCGTAAGATCTCGACACCATCTTTCCTCCCTTCCTTCTCCTTCCCCCAATTCAAAATCGATCGATCGATCTGCGCTCGCTCTCCCTCTCCCTCTCTCTCTCTCTCTCTCTCTCTCTCTCTCTCTCTCTCTCTCTCTCTCTCTACATTAAGAGGACCAAAAAGTCCGCTCTCCTTTTTCCCATTATCGTCCTACTAAGACGACCACTAACAACCTGTCCTCTATTCCAGTGTCAATCGACTCACCCCTGTCTACTCCTCCGCCACGCTTTCATTTCATTCCCCAAATCTTTCGCTCGTCTTCGTTTTCCTAGTCCTCACGTAAACCACAAAACCGTATCGAATTGGACTCCGTGCTATCGGAAAGGCCCAGATGCCGCCGGGCTAGCTCGTTCACAGGGTGACCGCGTCAGGAACGAGAACACCGAGCTGCTGAGACGAACCCACATACACTCCTCGCCGTTCCTGCTGCTGCTGCTCCTCCTCTCGGCGTGGCTGCTGTAGAGTCTTCGCACCTTGTGACTCGTGTAAACAGGCCAGAAAACTCGCTATGGCCTCCACCCTCCTTCCCATCGTCACTGAAGCATAGAGTACAACACTTCTGGCCTTGCCACATTCTCTCCTCTACCCCCCACCCTCTCCACTCTTTCTGCCTCCCACGACCCTCCTCCTCTCCTCCCCCTCCCTCCCTCCCTCCCTCCCCGGCAACCCTCCGTGCCTCGGCCTCTCTCCCTCTCTCTCTCTCTCTCTCCTTCCTCTCTCCTCGACGAGCCGCTCCGCCTTCCTGCCTGCCTCCCTCTCCCTCTCCCTCTTCGCTTCTACGAAGCAGCTATGGCTGTCACCAGCCTCATTGCGTCCCTGGGGCCTCTCTCGGCGTGCCTGCGTGTCTGCGGGCGGTGTAGGCCTTGAGCCATGGGGCGTGGGACGCCGACTGAACCCCTACTTATCCACACCAACAGAACCAATGTCCTGTCCTACACTGTGTGCGCGAGAGTGCGTCTACCTCTCTCTCTCTCTGTTTATGGAGTGCAGTGAGAGCCCGTGCGTGACTGCCTACTCCTGCACCACCTCACCTTACCTCACCTCCCCTCCCTCCCCTCACCTCACGAAAATCACCGTCAAATCACTCGCTCGCTCCCTCCATTGGAAGACAGCGACAGAGGCAGCAGGAGGAGGAGGACGACGAGTCCGCGGCTCAGGAAAGAAGAAAGAAGAAGAAGAAGCAGAAGAAGCAGCCGAAGGGCGGAGGAGGAGGAGGAGGGGGGAGGAGAGAGAGAGAGAGAGAGAGGAGGAGGAGGGAGGAAAGAAAGAAAGAAAGAAAGGCGCAGCTGTTGCTCTTGCTCTTGCTGCTGCCGCTGCCGCTGCGGCTGCCGAGAGAAAAAAGAAGAGCAGGCGACCTCGTGGCCCGAAGACCGCCTTGCTCGCAGACGCTGCTCAAGCGCAGCGCCACGAGTGAGTCGTACTCACCAGCCTCGCGGGCCCCAACATCATCTATCGCATCTGCTGCTGCATATTCCCCCGAACCTAGCCCCCCTGCGGTATATTTCTCTCTGGCTGGCTAGCTAGCTGCCCCGCTGGCTGACCGGCTCGCTCCGTCCCCTCTGCTCAGTCGGTCAATCGATCCATCCGTCCGTCCACCAGCCAGCGACCGAACGGTAAGCAAGAAACGAACCACGGGCGAAAACTGAAAAGACGGGGGCCCCCTTTGCCGAAGAGTCTAGGTCTCGGACGAGTCAGCCGGTCAAGTCGCTCGGTCAGCGAGCCAGCCAGCCTCCCTGCCTGCCTGCCTGCCTGCCTCCCTCCGGTCTTTGAATAAAGGTCTTCCGCCGTGGCATATCCAATATCCCCTCGGCAGGTGCTTTCAGGGCAAGCGACGGGCAAACGCGAACGCCAACCTGACCGGAGTGGACCCAACCCGACCCGACCCGACCTGACCTGACCTGACCTGGCCTAAGCTCACGTCGTTGCACGGTGGGGACCGAGCGGAGCCGGCTGGACGACGACGACGACGGACGGGAGGGCGGGTGAACTTTTCCGACGATCGCCGAGTCAAGAGAAAAGCGAAACACGCACTGTCACTGTCATCGGTGCCGCGCCCGTCCGCTGGAAAAGAAAGCCTTTGTGGCGGGCGGGGCACGGCGGATGCACCGGCCGGCCGAGCTGTTGTCGGAATGGGCACAAAGGAGGGTAAAAGTAAAGGTTGTGGATTGCGGGCGAGCTGATGACGCGACGCGACACGGGGGCCCGAGCTCGGCGGGATATAGACAGGACTCTCTAAATACGTAACTCGAGGATCCCATTTCCGTATTTTGTATTCAGAAATTTCCGTATTTAAAAAAAATTGTTATCTAGGTGGCCCTAAACTAACGGAGTTACTCGATTAAAATTTTGAACTGATCGTTTGTGACAATATATTTCTTCATCTAGGTGTCTTTATTAAAGAGACTAACGGAGTCACTCGATTAACATTTTGAGCTGATCGTTTGTGACAATATATTTCTTCATCTAGGTGTCTTTATTAGAGAGTATAACGGAGTCACTCGATTAAAATTTTGAGCTGATCGTTTGTGACAATATATTTCTTCATCTAGGTGTCTTTATTAGAGAGTATAACGAAGTCACTCGATTAAAATTTTGAGCTCATCGTTTGTGACAATATATTTCTTCATCTAGGTGTCTTTATTAGATAGTATAACGGAGTCGCTCGATTAAAATTTTGAGCTCATCGTTTGTGACAATATATGTCTTCATCTAGGTGTCTTTATTAGAGAGTATAACGGAGTCACTCGATTAAAATTTTGAGCTGATCGTTTGTGACAATATATTTCTTCATCTACGTGTCTTTACTAGAGAGAATAACGGAATCACTAGATTAAAATTTTGAGTTGATCGTTTGAGACAATATCTTTCTAACAATAACTTTACTAGAAAAAACTAACGGAAATACTCAGCTAAAACTTTACAGTAACTTGTGATAATTTCTCTGATGATCTAGGTGGTTTTACTAGAGAAACTAATGGATTCATTCAACTAAAACTTGGTGAGTTCAACCAGTCAAAATCTAGTATTTTCTCTCCTTGCTTACCTTATAAACGTGTAGTTTTAAAAACACCATAAATTAATCAACTATTCTTTAAAATATCAAGATCATCTCAAAAAAAGTTGGGAACAAAAGTACATAGATAAATTAGCGAAAGAACACCAAACTTTTTGTTGTTGTGAACGGAGAACATTACGAAGTAGATGTTCACAAAAATCTGTTGATTGAAAAGTCTGATTCCAAGTATTAAGAATAGATTTTTTCAACTCGTAGAGTTTTTCGGAGGACTAGTTTGAGCATTTTCCAACACTACAACCGGGTGGAAAGTGTTTTCTCAATGCTGAAATGGGAAAATGATATTCACAGAATACGTTACATACGGAATCCGCCCTATATAGAGAGGCCTGCACATAGAACGCCCGAGTCCGATCTGACCGAGCGACATTTTTATTCGATTCGATTTTTCGATTCGGGATGTAGTGTTGTTATGGTATTCGCGGAAAACCCAAAAAAGCCAAGTATTCACGTATTTCTTCAGCATCCACTCATCTTCGGATCCGGAGGTCCTAGCCACTGATTTCTGCAACTAGGTGCATTCCGTACGTGTAAAACGGAAATATCACCTAATTATAAAAATCACCACATGCTGTGCTTTGGTTTGTAACTATGTTTTTTTAAGTCTTGTCTCGTGACCTCACTTGAACAACACATGCGATACTGTCTTCCTAAACTTAGACTTCCTCCTCTTTTCTCAGCATTCTATATTTCTGTTCTCAATAGACGAAGTACCGTAGTCGCACATTATCCATCTAATATATGAACTGCACGACATACATTAGATCCTCTGCGCTTTTTCCATTCCGGAAATGCGAATTTCCTCTCAGTTTCAAACGTCTTCCACCGAATCGCTTGGATGAACATACAGGGAGAAAGTAATCTCTGCACTATATCTAAAAGGATTATGTCATCAGTACATCAATTGCGATTTTGATTGCTTCCAAATATACCACAGTTCTCTTTTCCTTTGACCCTGCTACCGTGGAGCGAAACATACATGTGGAGATGCAGTGGCAAGTATACTTTAGTTTATCTCATCTGCGCGTTTGAGTTCAAACAACTCCGCGCATCATTCCAGTGATCATTCTCCGGGGACTTTTTGAATATCTCATAAGAAAGGAAAAAGAAAAGTAGGGCAATGGAGCCAAATGTATGACAAAAACGATGATCAAATCGCCACAAGCTTTACCACTAAGTATTCCAATGGAAGCCCGAGTCCATGCCCCGATACTTTCATGATGTGAAATGTGTCCCACATCACTTACGATACCTGGAATTTCATAATTATATTGTTTACAAACAACATCAACATCTGATGGTACATAACTTAATCTTATGGATTATATGTCTGTACCGCTCTCCATACTTTTCTCCACAACAATTAACATATACTGTATAAACCTCCTACCTATACATACAATCAAAACTAATATATCTTAATCAAATTTTATTCTATTTTAAGTTTTCCCGATAATCTAGTCTACTTATAGACTGCATCCGCTAAACAAACAAATTTTTCAGTACCTTCATCTTTACTTTGACAAGACTTTTCTTTTCTGCCTAACTTTCTCGCAATTTAAGTGTGAGAAAATTACACAAAAACAACAGGGTACCTTAGATTACAATAGTCATAGATTGATTTGATGGAATTTTCAGTAATTAGAAATGAGACCAAAATATTAAGATTACTTCATGTATAAAATTTTAATTCATTTTCAAAATGTGGTTCATTCATTATTTTATATTAAACTTATTAATTCAATGTTTTTGTTTGGAAATTAAAATTAAATAATTTTAATCAAATCCTATGAATAATTCAATTAAATGCAATAAGTTTGAGTTCCTTTTTTTGAGTTCAAGATTAAAAATCCATACAAAAATTTATTGATTGCGTGATTTAATTAAAAAATTTCAAGTCATACAACTTTCACTATGTTGAATAATTAAATGGATAGCAAATCATTTCATCATGTACAAATCAAAATATAATGTAATTTCAAATAAAATATTATTATATCTCATCTGCATGATTTGCATCAAAATAATAGGATTTATAAAAAGGGCAGGATTAAACTTCAAAAGCTTCTCAAAATCTATCTTGAGATCTGCGAATAACTATTAAAAAAAGATTACTTTATTTGAAACAATAAGTTGATACAAGTTATATTTGTGAATATAACTTATACATAAGATGTATTTTATATATAATTAATATTCTTAGTTAAAATCAACATGCTTCATCAAATCTTAGAGGAAACAAATACAATAGATTGTTTCTGAATAATATGACACTGCAAAAATTAATCACATAACTATTCAAATTTTTTTAAACAATCTAACTCTTAATTACGCTCCTTCGTCTAAATCAATCCATTTGTCATCTTATTAAGTTAACTAACATTAACTTTCAGAAAACATTCATTAAAATGCATTACACAATGGATGCAAAAATATCATGAATGATTAACTTGTACTCTTTCAAATATACAAACTTTCATACATAACAAGATAAAATTTAAATTATAGAATAAAACACAATAAAAGTTCAACTCACATATGTACTTAAAGTTCATGGATGCTGCTCCATCC